AACCACCACCTGCTGCGCCCACCACCACTTGGTGCTTCTTCCACCACCTGCTTCCACCTCCACTACCTGCTTCCTCCTCCTCCACCCGCTGCTTCCACCACCTGCTGCTTCCATCACCCGCCTCTTCCACCACCCGCTGCCTCCACCACCCGCTGTACTCACCACCTGCACGCAACCTCTACCATGTCCACGTTAAATATTTATTATGAGAGAGAGAGAGAGTGAGAGGGGGGGGTAAGTAAAGGATAGAAGAGGAAGGGTCGTAATGTGAAAGGGAGGAAGGAAGGAACAAGAGTCAGGAATTAGGTGCAGTAATTGGGTTACCGATAATAAAGGCGGTTCATGACCACCACCACTCACCACTGAGACCAACACTCGTGTTGAGGTGGATAGCGGGAGAGGAGAGCCGTGAAAGGGGAAGGAAGGGGGGGGTGTAAGTAGGTGGGAGGAGAGGAGGAAAGGAGGGGGAGGCGGCAAAGGGAAGAGAGGGAGAGTAAAGGAGGGTAAGGGAGAGAGGAACGGAGGCATGTAAAGAGGGGGTGGTGGGAAAATGGGAGAGGGGAGGGAGTCTTGTAAAAGGGAGGGAAGGAGGGAGGCGTGTAAAGGGGAGGGAGGGAGTGGAGGTTAGAGGAAAGGAATGGGGGAATGTTAATAGGAGGGAGGAGTATTGGGGGGGAGGAAGAGGGGAGAAAAGGGAAGGGAGAGGTGGGCAAGGGGAGGAAAGGAACGTGTGGAGGGAGAGAGAGAGAGGGAGGGAGGGGAGGGTGGGGAGGGAGGGAGGAGGGGAGGCAGGGAGGCGTGTGAGGGAAGAAGGAAGTGAGAGGAGGGTGGAAGGTGTAACGGGGAGGTAGGCAGAAAAGGAGAAGAGGAAAGGGGAAGAGAGAGGTTACAGGTAAAAGAATAAGAACAAATTATATACCATTTTTGTTTTGTTTTTACCGGTCAGTGTTTAGTTATGACCTACACTTCCAATATTTGGCTAAAACTACGCTAAAACTATGCTAAAACTATGCTAAAACTGTGCTAAAACTACGCTAAAACTATGCTAAAACTCTTCACTTTTATTCTTACTTCGGCCCCAAAACATTCCCTCTCATTCTCACAATATACAGCGGTAAAACTCTTATACTTTTTTCCTCAGAGATTCTCACTATAATGTTTTGTGTGGTACGTGGGATAAAGAAACAGACATATAGTTATAATAGTAAAGTCTCGGTGCAATCTCGAGGCCATTTTTTCCATCTTCGTGACTTTTGCCGAAATGAACCAGTTATCTCCCGTCTTTCATCTCCAGTTGAGAGAGAGAGAGAGAGAGAGAGAGAGAGATAGAGAGAGAGAGAGAGAGAGAGAGATAGATTAGCATATGGGAGTGTGACAGTCCAAACTCGGATTTTTGTTCATGATTTTTTTGTTATTGGTGATTCGTGAGCCCTTAATTATCGATTCATTGTTATCCGATTCATTACTAGTTGACTGATAGTGATTTATTATTATTATTATTATTATTATTATTATATACAGTATCATGTTTGTTTTGTGGTTTATTATTGATTTATCAGTGTATGTTTTTGTCATTTCGTTATTTATTTATTTATCTGCAAGTCGGTAATTCACTCGCTGCCTTTTTCCGTCTGTCTGTCTGTCTGTCTGTCTGTCTCTGCGTGTTAACATATTGCCTTACACTTTGCGTCCTTACCTCCCTTACCACTGCCGCTACTATTATCCCACCACCAGCAACACCAGCCCTCTGTCACAGCCACAACCACCACACTCCATCACAGTCACAACCACCATACTCCACCACTGCCACAACCACCGCTGTCCCGCCGCCACCATAACCACTCCGAGTATCATCCTGACATCACCACCGCCACCATCACCACCACTACCTACCTGCTCTTTAACTCTTCCGGGAACACACACATGTCAGTGAGCTGATGTCTCTCTGCCTCACCTCTGTCTGTCACTACACTGGCACCCTCCATCCTGCAACCCACGGTACTGGCACCTACCTCTTTCCAACCCATGACGCTGGCACCCTCCACCCTTCAATCCACGGCACTGGCACCTATCTCTTTCCAACCCATGACGCTGGCACCCTCCACCCTTCAGTCCACGGCACTGGCACCTACCTCTTTCCAACCCATGACACTGGCACCCTCCACCCTCCAACCTACGCGCACTAGCACTCTCCACCCTCCAACCCACGGCTATGAAACCCCTCACCCTCCATCCCACTACACTGATCCCCTCCCTCTTCTAACCCATGGCACTGGCAACCTTTTTCCTTCAACCCATGGCACTGGTGACTGGACCCCTCCTCCCTTTGCAACCCACGGCACTTTCACTCGGGAGACTGCCACACTCCTCCCTCCATAACAGTGGTGCTCTACTCCCTCCTCCCCACCATACTGGCACCCTCCTCCAACTCTGTGACATTGGCAATCCTCCCCCACTTCCGCGACAGACAGCACCCTTCACCATCTGTTACATGGAACTGGCACCTTCCACCTTCCATCCTCCACCCGACGACTCTGGCACCTTTCTGGCACCCACCATCCACTGACAACTCACCCTCCACCCGACGACTCTGGCACCACTCCACCTGACGACTCTGGCACCATCCACCCTGCACCCGATGACTCTGGCACCTTCCACCCTGCACCGACTGGCACCTTCCCCCTCAATTTTACCTTCCACCCCCACCCGACAACTCATGCACATTCCACCCGGACAACTCATGCACTTCCACCCCACCCGACGACTCTGGCACCCCACCCCACCCGACGACTCTGGCACCTTCCACTTCTGGCATGACTCTGGCACCTTCCAACCGACGACTCCCACCCCCACCCGACGACTCTGGCACCTTCCACACCTGACAATCATGGCACCTTCCACCCCCCACCCGACGACTCTGGCACCTTCCACCCCCACCCGACGACTCTGGCACCTTTCCACCCCCACCACGATTCTGGCACCTTCCACCCTCCACCCGACGACTCTGGCACCTTCCACCCCCACCCGGCACTCTGGCACCTTCCACCCCCCACCCGACTCACGACACCTTTCTGGACGACTCTGGCACCTCCACCCGACGACCCGACGAGACTCTCTGACACCTGACGACTCTGGCACCTCCACCCGACGACTTGACTCTGGCACCCTCCACCCGACGACTCTGGCACCCTCCACGACTCTGGCACCTCCACCCGACGACTCTGGCCCTCACCTCCAATTCGACGACTCCACCCGACGACTCTGCACTCCTGACGACTCTGGCACCTCCTCCACGACGACTCTGGCACCTTCCACCCGACGACTCTGGCACCTTCCACCTCCACCCGACGACTCTGGCACCTTCACCCCCCCACCGACTCTGGCACCTTCCACCCTCCACCCGACGACTCTGGCATCATCTACCTCTCAACCTTGTCACCCTGAACCCCACATCACTGGCTCCCTCCAACCTTCTCCATATAACACACTTTTTTCTCCCCCCCTCCCCCCATCCTGTGGCCCTGGCCACCGCATCGCCACGCTCTATCGTGCGTCTTCAACACCCTCCTGCCTCAGTGCCGTGACACTTGCCAACAACCAGCCCACTCTTTCTCTCCCCCTTTTTGACCTCCCTCTCTTCTCCATCGCTCTCCTCTTCCCATTCTCCTCCGCGCCTCCTTATGCAAGCGTTTTCCTTCTAGTGGCACTTTTCCTGGTGACAATTCCCTCCCGATGGCTCTCTTTTCGTGGTGGCACTCTCATATTGTCGTCACGTATGTCCTCATGTCACTATTGTCCTGGTGGCACTTGCCTCTTTGTGGTACTTTTAACCTCGTGGCACTCTCGATATCATTGTCCACGATGCTTTCTCCTGATAACACTTCCTGATGGCGCTCCTGACGACACTTCATGATGGTGCCCAACTTGTGATAATTTTAATAATAGCATTGTGGCGATGAAATTTTTAGTGGCACTATCTTGTTACTGGCACTCCTGTTGTTAATATTTTAGTAGCACTCTTGATGTCAGTCTTATGATAGCACTCCTTAATGGCAGTCTCGGTGGTACTCTCCTAGTGGGTGAGATTATCCGCGTCTTGTTGACACACTAAGGCACATTAACCGGATGGTAATACTTTTGTGACTCTTTTACGGGACTCTTGGTGGCACGCTTGACAATATTTTGGCAGTGCCCCCTCTGTGTCATTAAGGGGGGGGGGGGAATGTCTTTTTCTTGGTAGCTTTGTGGAGAGCTGGACCGGGTTTAGGACAGTCCAGCAGGTATGATGCTTACCTCTGGTATTATAGTCAGTCAGTGATACAGGTACGACCACTGACTATTTCTGAATTATCTAATTATATAAACCCATGTAATTACATAATACATATGAATTAATTCAGGAATATTAGCTAAGTTACAGTTGTAGTATTTAGTTAGATAACGATACGCCTCGATATTTTTGTTAAATTATAGCTTTAAAAATACTTTATTACATCTTATTACATTATTCAATAAATGATAGTATATGTACTGACGTAAACACAAGTACAAATGCTACTTTTGCTTTCACTATTCATACCGCCGCCACCGCCACAGAATTAAAAACAAATAATGAGAGTTCACAATCATTTGTGCATTATTATCATCACCCATAGGAGTGGTTAGGTGATTAATGACTGTGGAATGACTTGTTGATTACTGACATTGTGTGTGTATTTGTGTTGTGTATATATGTTGTGTGTAGGCCTTCACAGGGTACGCGAGGTACACAGGGTACGCGAGGTTAGGTTTGGTTAGGTAGGTTAGATTAGGTTATGTTAGATTGGGTTAGGTTAGATTGATTAGGTTAGATTGATTAGGTTAGATTAGGTAAGGTAAGGTTAGGTTAGGTTAGGTTAGGTTAGGTTTCGCACTAATGTGAAAAATTATACAGAGGGGTATCGAGATATGCGTCATGAGGCCGTGTTGAACAGATTAAGACGCACGGGGCCACCACTGTTGATTACGGTCTCGGCGGTGTACCACAAGGATGATAATTATCACTTCACCGCCGTCACCAGGTTAGGGGTTGGCTCATCTTTCTCTTATAAACACTTTTTTCTCTCATATGAATTACAGTGTGTTGTGTTTGTGTGTTCTGTTTGTGTGTTCCTTATTCATTTCCACAGTTCCACTCATTACCAGTTATCCCTTGGTATATACCAGTGATATTGGAAGCATAATGTGTTGTCTAATGGTAGACCCTGCTGCCATATGGCATCACGAAAATTGTGACAAGTCCCAGGTTGCTGGTCTGACTTTCTGCCTCATTTACACACAATTGCAGGGTGTCAATTGTTTCTCTTACTATTGACAACACAACATACATATATTGTTTCTCACTTTTTATTTTTGTTTTCATTTTTGTATTTAATTATGGTTTTTTGTTATTATTAAATTGTTATTATTATCACTATTATTTTATTTTATTTTCAAATTTGTATTTTTAATTATAAATCTTATTTATTATTATTATTATTATTATTATTATTATTATTATTGTTATTATTGTTATTATTGTTATTATTATTTTTATTATTTTTTATTATTTTTATTTTTATTTTTATTTTTATTTTTATTTTTATTTTTACTTTTCGCCCCCAGGCCCCGATGTGGGTCAGTGACATGTGCCCGTGTGGGCTAATCCCGAAAAATAAAAAATAAAAAAATTATATATATATATATATATATAATATATATATATATATATATATATATATATATATATATATATATATATATATATATATATATATATATATATATATATATATATATATATATATCCATCCATCAATGTCGGTTACATACATACCCGTCATCTACTCATTAACGGTTTCATGTGTGTGTTTTGAACCCATTCCGTATTACTTGAAACAAAAACATTGTAAATACTTCTTGTCATCCGAACGTTTTAAAAATACTGTACTGTTAAAACGTTTGATGGCGGGGAAAGGTTTTGTGTTTCGTGAGAAGAAGAAAAACATTTAATTTGCTCTCTTGTCAGTGCTTGGTAGTATATTGTTTTTTTATTTTATTTTATTTTGTAATTTTTGTTTTGTTGGGGGTTAAAGCATTTAATTAAGTTACACTGGAATCTCCAATAATGGCACTTGTTGGGGAGGGGACGGGGGAAGGGTGTGTGTGTGTAGGGTACAGGTGAGGGTAGGAAAGGGGAAGGTAAATGAAGGTGGGAATGGGAGCAGGAAGAGGGGACAGGGTGTGACATTCAAGAAGAGGGGGAGTGGGGGTGTCAGTGATGAAGAGGGGATGATATTAAGGGACAGGGGGAGTGGGGTGACATTAAAGAGAAAGGGGAAGTGGGGGGGATATTGAGGGAGAGGAAGTGGAGGTGACATTGAGGGAGAGGGGGAGCAGGGTGTGTCATTGGAGGAGAGGAGTGAGGTGTCATTGAAGGATAGGGGGAGAGACGGGGTATCGAAGAGGAAGGGAAATATATATTAAGTATATAAATGAATAAGTATATATACCAAAATTATTCAGCTCGGTCAAAGATGCTAGACGCTGCAGCTAATCCGTCTTGTTGTCTGTGTTGTTATTAATTGCTCTCCGGATTCATAAATAATATATAAAATCCTCTTTAAATTATATCACATCGTTCGTGACGAGGCTTCCTCTACTCTGTGATGCCTTATCGTAACATGGCTGGTTACCCTGTGTTGTTGGTGGCACCCGTGACCTGGCACTGACAGTCTGGCACTCAAGTGGCTCTTTCAAGTAATGACCTAACCTGACTCAAGGGTCTAGCCTGTCGGAGGGGAGAGGCAAGGGGAGTTGCTGGGGTCAAGATTGAGGAGGAAAATTGGAGGTGGTGGGGTAAGGATTTGTAGGGGGGTGGGAGGTGGGGGAGAGTTTAGTAAGGATTTGTGGGGGGAGGGGTTGTAGGAGTAGGGGGAGAGGGTGGTTGAGGGTTGTTGTGGGTGGTGGGGAGAAAGGAGTTTTTTACATTGATGGGGAGAAGTTGGTGTGGTTAAGATAGAGAATAAGGATGGTGGGGGGGGATGGGGATTAATTGACGTGGGAGATTAATAGGATTAGGTGATGTGCTTCATATAGTAAGGATTAGACTAAAACTCTTATCAATAAATATCCTCATCCTAATTTTAAATGGGATATATATATATATACATACTACTACATATCTCTACATATTATACAATGAGATATTCGTTTCATTCATTTCGTGAGGTATTATGTACTTATCGGAAGTTCAATAAAAGTATTATAGTTATGTATTTGCGTGAGTTAACTAAGTATTTTTCGTTGTAGTCGTTTTGTATCCGTGTGTGTGTTTGGTTGTGTTAAAATTTAGAAAGCCCTTAATGACAGCCGAATTTAGAACCTAACTGAGACCACCCTAGATTAATTTAACCTACTGAGACCATATTAGCTTAATTTAGAACCTAACTGTTATAGTCAGTTAACTATAGGTTCTGTCGAAGTTAACTCGGTTGGTACATTATATTATATTGGGTTAGAGTAGCGAAACCCAATTGTCTGTTTCTCCTTTTATTGAGGAACTGCTGTTGATACAATTCCAGAGTGTAAATCAACCGTAACTTAATCACTGTAGCTATGTGTGTTAAGAGAAGGACGAGGACTATGTAAATAGACCGTTTAATCACGTCCTTCTTGTGTGAGGGATTGAGTCGTTATCTATGAGTAGTGACCCATCGAGGGGGAACGGAATAGGCACGTCGTCCTCCCTCGAGGGAAGACGGAACCATCCACGATGGCTCTCAAATAACGTCTTCCTCTAGTCAAGGATACCAAACTACTGCCCGCTTCAGGTGGCCAGGGAGCCGGCTACATAATGCCTTAACTCAGCATAATATGACACAGCTTCCCGTGGGCACACCTTATCACGTTCTCCGAACATGTCACCTCATAGCTAGTGGAAAGTTACTGGGGATGACTCAGTATATAAATCAAATGTAATTAGCCCATTTATATAATCTTTCTGTTTATGAAACATGAGCCATTACATCACTGAGACCATCCTAGATTAATTTAACCTAACTTGGACCATATTAGCTTAATTTAACCTAACTGAGACCATACTAGATTAATTTAACCTGAGACCATACTAGATTAATTTAACCTAACAGACCGCACTAGATTAATTTAACCTTACTTGAGACCACCCTAGACTAACTTAACCTAACTGAGACCACCCTCACCCTAGTCTAAATTAAAGTAAACCATTTTGAGTAAAACAAACTTAACTTAACCTAAACCATCAGTTAACTTAATCTAACCTAACATAGATGAATTTAACCTGGCTATGAACAGTACAACCTAACCTAACCTAACCTAAAGTAAAACAAACAAAAAATACGATAGAACTTTCTGTACGTATCATACTTTAATATGTTCATGAAAATAAAAATACATGCAATATTCTCTCTCTCTCTCTCTCTCTCTCTCTCTCTTCACCCGAGTCGGGAGAAAAGAGCAGCGCATTATTGCAATAAAATATACCCCTCCT